CTGGCTACCACCACCGACTGCTCTGACAGGGATCACAATACAGGGTCCCAGATGGAGCTGCGGAAAAATGTAGAACAAAATTCTAACTCACAAAAAAAGACCAGACTTACTGGCTTGACAGAGACTGGAGAAATCCTGAGTATGGCCCCCAGACACTCTTTTAGCTCAGTAATGAAGTCACTCTCAAGGTTCACCCTTCATCCAAAGATTAGACAGGCCCATAAAACAACATGAGGTTAAAGGGGCACAATAACCCAGGAGCAAGGACTAGAAGGCAGGAGGGGACAGGAAAGCTGGAATAGGGAACCCAAGGTCGAGAAGGGAGAGTGTTGACATGTCATGTGGTTGGGAAGCAATGTCACAAAACAATATGTATACTGTTTAATGAGAAGCTAGTTTGTTCTGTAAACCCTCATCTAAAGTACAATAAAAAAAAAAGTTTCCAAAAAAAAAAAAAAACCTCCTGTGGGAATAAAACCACTGCCATCGATTCCAACTCATAGCAACCCTACAGGACACAGTAGAACTACACCCATAGGGTTTCCAAGGCTGTAAAGCTTTACAGAAGCAGACTGCCACATCTTTCTCCTGTGTAGCAGGCGGTGGATTTGAACTGCTGACCTTTTGGGGAGTAGCTGAGCACTTAACCACTGCACTACCAGGGCACCTCCTATGGGAATGGTGAGGCATAAATAAAGAAGGTTGGTCATGAATTCATAATTATTGAAGCTGACTAATGGAAGTTAATACACTATTGTGCCTACTTCAGATTATGCTTGAGTTTTCCATAAGAAGTGGTGGGGGAGGGAAGGAATTCCCCCTTGAACTAGAACTACTGTCAGGATAAGATGGGGACTGAGGTACAGAAGAAATGAGCAAGGTAAATCATCGTAGCTGAGAGGGAAGAGTTCTTATGTTCATCAGGCTAAGGTGGAAGTTCCAAGTTGCTATGCACAGTAAGTCAGAGTCTGACATAGGTAAAAGAGTTAAGAAAAGGGAGGAAGCAGTTGGACTTTCAAGACCAGGAAGCAATGAGGAGATGGAATTTAAGTCCAGTCTGAAAGAGGTGATATTTAGTTGGCTTGAAGGTAGAGAAAGGGACAATTTAAGTCAAGGAAAAAGCATGAAGTAGAAAACAGTAAGCATATCACATTACGAGTCAGGGAAATAAAGCTGCACTTGGAGGTTTTTTAGCAAGGGAGTGACAGGATGGAATATTTTAGGGAGATTACTTCAACGGCAATGTATAGAACCATAGTTTAGGGGTTGCTGCCATGATTTAGACTTGAGTGGGTAAGGGCCTGGACATGAGTTGTGGCAAAAGAGCTAAAAAATAGCAAGAGAAACAGAGGAGGAAATGATGGCAGGTGGGGTGTCAGGGTTAGAGAACAAGAGTTGGAAGATATTTAATAGGTTTCAGCTGAGATTCTGAGTGTGCATTTGCTCACTATATGAGGGAGTACAGAGAAGGTTCCAAACCAGAGATCAAGACTTAGGGGGAAAATGAGGGAAAAATAGGAAAGGAAATCAGCCAGAGAAAAAGAAGCTGTGCCAGTCCAGTGATAAGCCTGGAACGAGGAGCTTGAATTATACTGCAGCTAAAGATGAACTATGGAAAGGCCAAAGCGGTGGCCTGAAAGCATCATTTTAAGAAAAGTAAACTCATGACAGATTACAGAATTGAATGGGGAGGGGAGAGAGTAGATGTAGGGAGTGAGAACACTGCAGGTAAGAGAATTTCACATACTCTCTAGGTATGCCATTTTCCTCTACCTTCCTCCTCCAACTCCAGAGAATTTCTGGGGCAGCTTTGAAAATGGCTGTGCTCAGTCACGATGGAAAATCTTTGGTCTCATGGCACTGATTTACAATGGCTCAGTTTGGGCATCAACAGGCTATCCAATATCCAGTCAGGGGCTCTAAAAAGCCCACAGGAGCTTCAGGAACTTCAGGAAAATAGCTATAAGCCCTCCTTTCCTGCCATTAAATGAGAGACCTGCTCCTTTAAGCCCCTGAGTTGCTCACTTCCCTGGTCACTATTTATTTATTGAGACCTTGATTTTGCCCTAAATTACACATACCATATACTTATTGAGGCATAACTTTTGGATGTTGAGGAGATATGGCCAAGATGTTGTTCAGAAGATTAACCACAACATATTAGCTGAGATTCTCACAGGTGACTAAGTGCTTTCTTCTGTGTTAAACTAAGAATGAATGAGAGTGGTTATACCACTTTATAAGAGTCTACTATGGAAGATCATCATTATTTTTTCTAATTAAAGTACTAGCCGTGTTTGAAGGGCTTAAAGAGAATCCCCTTGCCTGTTAAAGCTGTAGCCTGATATTTATATCCTATGGCTGAATATGTAGTTCACACTAAATAGGTAACTCAATTGTGAGAGACAGACGCAGATTCTAGTTGGTCCTCGTGGGTTCCAGTTTGTCCTTGGCCCTCTCCCACCGTCTAGCTTTTCTTCCTGACCATCAGACTTGTAAACCTTCAATTTCAGGCCTACATCAGCCTTCCAGAAAATTCTTCACATGGTTTCATAATTCCTAAGGACCAATCCTTCAAATAAATCTCTTATTCTCTATCCTCATAGTAGTTCAGGTTCCTTCCTCTAACCTCAATACATCCATCCTGTCATTTCACTTACCAAATAACATTAAAATGTCTTACCACAAGTGAGACTCCAGAGTTGCTCAACTCTACATGCCTACTAGGGAAAACAAAGATAACCTCCTTATCACAATTTCCATGTCCAGCAAGTATGGTGGTAGTGGACAGGCCAACACGTAATGTCAACAATTGTGCAATCACATAACTGGGCAGAGAAAAAAGAGGTACAACAGTAACCTCATAAGAAGTCATAATGTGTTGTTCTTTACAAACAAAAATGACAGGACTGAGATCTCATTTGTAAGGTATGCACTTTGATTTGTGACTCTCAGAAAGACAGGACAACAGAGATCCACACAAATTAAAAATTTCTCTTTTGACTTACATAGGTAGAAGAGGGGGACAGTTTCCTTTAATATGCTAGTACTTCATTTATGAAAACTATATGCAGGTTTTCAAGGCTACTTTTATTACCACCCCAATCACATACCCATATTTATACATTTACCTGAAATTCATCCATGATACTGAATGTATATTCATGCCTGGCAACTACGTGATGACAATTCTTGCACAGATCTGCCAAAACAAAAAGAGACTTACAAAATTAAGTCTTGAAAGGTCTCTTAAAACAGTAAAATTTCTATTCTCAGCATGGTAGTACTTGAAAAGAATCTTAACTCTATTTGTCATATTTAACACAGTAGGAAATCCATTATAATATCTACCTTGAAAAGAAATCCAGAATCTGTCACACAGCAACATTACATAACTGAGGGGCTGAACTCTGAGACTTAGTATGCACATAATTCACATCGCAAGCCTCTAAGGTAATTAATTAACATATATTTAAGAGTGGTTTTTAAACTAGCTGGACCTATCTATGAAAAGCTTTTAGTCTCAGGAACGATAGAAAATGAGCTACTATTATCCATCATAAATGAAAAACCAATGCTGAACAAATTGAATGTACTTGATACATTAAAGTGAATTTACTAATAACAAAAGACTATGATAAAAACAATACCTATGACTTACTGAGTGCTTACTGTATGCCTGATACTGTATTAAAAACTTCATATGCATTTTTTAATTCACTTAATCTTTACAAAAACCCAGTAAGGTAGATAGTTTTGTTATCACTTTTTTAGAGGTAAGGAAACAAAAGGCACAGTGCAGTTATGTAACTAGAGAAGTGTTGGAACCGGAATTCAAACCCAGACAGTCTGGCTGTAGAGTGCTTGCTCTTAACCACTAGGATCTACTGCCTGGAAAAAGAGAAAGTTTAAAGGCGTATTTGCTGAAAGTAAGAAAAAAGATGGGTTTGGGGTTTGGTTTATAATGGAGCCCTGGTGGTGCAATGGTTAAATACTTGGCTGTTAACCAAAGGTCGGTAGTTCTAACCTGTCTGGCCTAGTTTGAACCTCTGCTGAGAATATGCAGTTCTAATAAGTTCCCAGGTGATGCTAATGCTGCTGGTTAGGGACCAATTCTGAGAACCACTAGTAGAGCAATGGTTCTCAAAATTTATTATACATTAAGAATCACCTGGGGATCTTGTTAGACTACAGATTCTGATTCAATATATCTGGGGTGGAAATGCAAATTCTCAGCAGGGGTTCAAACAGGAACAAACCTGTTTAAAGCCCTGGTTTGAACCCACAAGCCACTCCAAAGGAGAAAAGACCTAGTGATCTGCTCCCGTAAAGATTATAGCCTGGGAATCCTATGGAGCAGTTCTACTCTGTCATATAGGGTGCTATGAGTCAAAATTAACTTGAAATATATATATGTATGTATATGTATGTGTCTGCATATGTAGGTGTGTATGTATATATATATATATAGATAGATAGATAGATATATAGATAGATATATATGTATATATGTATATACATATACGGAAACCCTGGTGGCATAGTGCCTAAGAGCTACGGCTGCTAACCAGGTGCTCCTTGGAAACCCTATGTAGCAGTTCTACTCTGTCCTATAGGGTTGCTGGAGTTGGAATCACAATGGGTTTGGTTTGGTTTTACATACATATAAATGTATATACATACGTACACACAAACGCGCGTGCGCGCGCACGCACGCACGCACGCACACACACACACGACATTCTGGGGTCATTTAGTATAGAAGTAAGAAGCCATAATGGACCCTAAACCAAAACCAAACCATACCCATTGCTACTGAGTCGATTCCAACTCACAGCAACCCTGTAAGGACAGAGTATTAACTGCGCTGTAGGGTTTCTAAGGCTGTGAATATTTACGGAAGCAGACTGCCACATCTTTCTCCCAAGGAGTGGCTTGTGGGTTTGAACTGCCGACCTTTTGGTTGGCAGCTGAGCACTTTAACCACTGCACCACCACGGCACCTTTAATTGCAACTTTTTTTTTTTAAGGTAACCTAAAATATAGTCTTTATATTTTGTTTAAGAAGGCATAAAGGCCTAAAAAAAAGTCCCTGAAAAATAATTTACTAAACAAAAAAATTGGTGCCAGAAGTATTAAGCTTTAGTTATCTGCAAGTCATTTATCTAGCAATATCTGATGATGCTAGATAAATGAGGTGTTAACTTTTTTTCTTTTTTTAAATTGTTTGCTTTAAGTGAAAGTTTACAATTCAAGTTAGTCTCTCATACAAAAATTTATACACACATTGTTATGTGACACTTGTTGCTCTCCCTATACCGTGACAGCACACTCCTCCTTTCTACCCCTGGATTTCCTGTGTCCATTCAACCAGCTCCTGACCCTCTCTGCCTTCTTATCTCACCTCTGGACAGGAGCCACCCACTTAGTCTCATGTATCTACTTGAGCTAAGAAGCACACTCTTCATGAGTATCATTTTATGTCCCATAGTCCAGACTAATCTTTGTCTGAAGGGTTAGCCTCAGGAATGCTTTTAGTTTTGGTCTAACAGTCTGGGGGCCATGTCTTCTGGGTATGGTGTTAACTCTTAAAAACCTAATTTAGTAACTAAATATTGCAATATGATACTGAAATAGGCCTCAGAATACTCTGTACAATGTATCTACTTTCAGAAGATGATACCTACTAACAGACTGTCATTTAAAAAAAACAAACTACTTACGATCATAGGTAACTATTTCTTCTCCATCTTCCTCTTTGAAGGATTTGTTTGTGATCAGCATAAAATCTCGTTTACTGCACACTGCACAGCCCATAAAGTTCAGCAAGAAAGATCCATTCTCCAAGCAGGTGTTACCCTAAAATATTAGAAACAGGAATTTTATTTTCTTATATCTCAAATACTAACCTGTAATTCAGGATCTTTGGTGAAAATGATTAATAAACTTAAATTTCTGAAGGCAAAAATATGGCCAGAATTTACTTATTTGAAGGCTATACCAAGTAAGTTTTTAAATTACTGACTTCCCTAAAGAAGTATTATTTGTGTCAAATCAAACTGGAGCCCAGTTGTAGATCTTCAAGTCTCTGAAGACTGCAACTATGTTTGAGAGAAGACCAAATGCAAATGGATATTTACAAATAATTTAGTAAAATCTTAATAATCTAAACGTGAAAAGGAAAAACTAGAGAAATTTAACAACCAACAATATTAAGTGGGGTATCATAAAAAACTAGAATTAAAATTCAATCAAAATGGAAACATTAAGCCAAATGATAAAGATGATCTTATATATTGTGATGCTCAGCTGTTGGAATAGTTTTCTCTCCAGCTTTAATAATACCACAAAATAAACAAACTTCTAAAAAAAAAATAACCTTCTAAAAAAAAATAAGCTGTAAAGATGTCAGTCCTCAAGGACGTGTGATTCAGGCAGAGAAGGCAAATTCCGTAATTCATCAGACCGACAACCCAGCTATTCAAGAAAGGATTTTATTTCCTCTCTAAGAAACTGTAATCAACAAGGGCACCTGGCTCAAAGGAAGTTGTTGCCAAAGGCTTATTAATAATTAAGAGTACATATTGAGAACGAGAAGTCATTTTATAAATAATTAGTCCAATCCCATTTTCTGACCAACAAATTTGTCTTTTAAAAGTTTATTTGACTTAAAATCATTCAAATCAACATTTCTCCCATTGTGTGTGTGATACTGCATAAAGCACAGTGAAGGATTCAAGGATGAACCAAACATGTTTCTATCTTCAAGGAACTTACGGAGTACAGGGGAATTAGGACCCACCACAAATGATGCCATAGTGGAGCCTTCCTGGATTCCTGGCACCACAATTAATCTCCCCCTTCAGAGTGGTTTCTTAGCACTATGTATTAAGGAAGAGATTAACCTGGGGGGGGGTGGGGGGTCCACAGGATATTACTGTATAGTCTGTAGGAATTTAATCATAGGCACAATGACTTAACAACTAAAAGAAAAAAGTCCCCAAAGTATAAATTTCCAGCTATTAAAAGCAACTGCTTTGCTTTGATTAAAAAAATCTTTACTGAGGCATAATTTACATATTATTAAATTCACAGATTTTCAGTGTACAGGTCAATGACTTTTAACAAAAGTATGTATTCCCATGTAACCACTACTCCAGTCAAGATACATAACATTTCTATCTCCCAAAAGTTCCCTGCTTTGCAGTCTATCTCCATCTCCCATCCCACCCAAAGCAACCATTGATCTGATTTCTACCTCTATAGATTAGTTTTGCCTGCTCTAGAATTTCACACAAATATAATCATACAGTATTTTCTTTTGCTCATTATGCCTGTGTTAGTCATCCATGTTGTCATGTGTATTGGTAGTTTGTTGCTTTTTATTGCCAAGTAGTATTCCATTGTATCGATACACTACAGTTTATACATTCATCTATTGATGGACATTTGACTTGTTTTCAGTTTTTGGCTATTATGAATAAAGCTGCTATGACAATTCATGTGCAAGTCTGTGTGGGCATGTTTTCATTTTTCTCAGGTAAATACCTAGAAATGGAATTGCTATATTTAACTTTACTGCCAAATGGTTTTCACAACTTTTTCACTCCACATTTCCACATGCAATGCGTTAGTTCCAGTTGCTTCACATCCTCACAAACACAAGGCATTCTCTTTTTATTTTAGCGATTCTATTTAGCACATTCCATTAGTAATTCTTGTGGTTTTAATTTGTATTTCTCTGATGACTAATGATGCTGAACATATTTTCATGGGACTTATTGGCCAGTCACATATATTTTCTTTTATAAAGTGTCTATTATAACAGTTGTTTATATATTTGGATACAAGTCCTTTGTCAGATATATGTGTTAGGAATATTTTCTTCTAGTCAGTGGTTTGTCTTTTGATTTTTTGATGGTGTCTTCTGAAGAGCAAACAGCTTTAGTTTTTATAAAGTGCAATTTATCAATTTTTTGTTACGGTTTCTGCTGCTTATGTCTTAAGACATCTTTTCCTACCCTAAGGCTGCAAAGATTTTCTCCTATGCTTTCTTCTAGAAGTTTTATAGTTTTAGTCTACATGTTTAGGTCTATGATTCATGTTGTATTAATTTTTATGTATGAGTTAAGGATCAGCGTTCATTTATTTATGGATATTCAGTTGTAGCAACATTTGTTGAAAAGATTCTCTTTTTCCATTGAATTACATTGATAGTAGGAAATCAAATTATTTCTTTGTAGGAAATCAAAAGATTATATAAATACATATAGTTCTTTGAAATATATGTACATATACACACACATATAAACACATACTTTTGGACTATTCTGTTCCCTTGATGTATATGTCTACCTTTGCAGTAATACATTTTTCTTTATTACTGTAGTTCTACAGTAAGTCTTGAAACCAGGTAGTTTAAGTCCTATTAATTGTTCTTTTTCAAAACTGTTTTGCCTAGTCTAGGCCCTTTGCATTTCCACATAAATTTTAGAATCAACTTGTAAACTTTACAAAAAACCTGCTGGGATTTTGATTGGGACATCCTTCAATCTACAGGTCAATTTGAGGAAAATGGCCATCTTAACATCACCAAGCATTCCAATCTATGAACATGGCATGTGTCTACATTTATTTAGATATTCACTTCTCTCAGCAACGTTTTATACTTTTCAGTGAAGAAGTCTTGCGAATCTTTTGTTAAACTTACTTGGAAGCATTTATTTTATGCTACCTGAACTCATTGCCATCAAACTGATTCCAACTCACAGTGACCCTATAGGACAGAGCAGAACTGCCCCATAGGGTTTCCAAGGAGCGGCTGATGGATTTGAACTGCTAATCTTTTGATTGGCAGCTAAGCTCTTCACCACTAGTTTATGCTACAAATGGTATTTTTTTTAATTTCATTTTTTGTTTGTTGCCTACACTTTAATTTTGATTAAATTTAATACTGATCTAAAACAAAAAAGTAGAAGTAGAAAATAATGACATATCAGAAATAATTGTGGAGTCATAAAATAATTAAAAGCCAAGGACTCCAGAAAATTAAGCAAAGGAAAACAGTCTCAAAAGAATAAAGATCTAAGCATCAACTTCAATAACCAAAACTCTGAGCAGGACTGCACCCATAAATATAGGCACGTTTACACAATATAGCCTATCTTCTGTAATCTGACCTTGTAAGTTGATTCTAAGAAAACAATGAGAGAACAAAAAGATCTATCTCTGTTGTGTGGTAAGGAAATAAATACTTGCAATGGTAGAATACAAGTACCACATACAAGAAACTGATGTAGCTCTTTATAAGAGTCTTGGTCGTTTGAATGTAGTGAGGATAACCTTCAACAGTGAGGCATGGCTATTTTATCAGAGGAGGCATGACTATTAACAACCAAATTTGGGAAAGTAAATTAAAGCAAACACTATTAAAAGAAGCCTTGGGGCTCTTCCCTGGTGGGAGAAAAAAGAATGCTATTCAAATCAGTTTGTCATACTGTGGGGGCTTCTGTGTTGCTGTGATGCTGGAAGCTATGCAACCGGTATTAAAATAGCAGCAGGGTCACCCACAGTGGACAGGTTTAGGCTGAACTTCCAGATTAAGATAGATTAGGAAGGACTTGGCGATCTATTTTGGAAAAGAATTAGCCAGTGAAAACCTTTTATGAAGAGCAGAGGAACACTGTCTGACATAGTGCCGGAATGCAAAGGCATTTGACTGTGTGGATCATAACAAATTATCGATAACATTGCAAAGAACGGAAATTTCAGAACACTTGATAGTGCTCATGAGGAACCTGTACACAGATCTAGGTAGTTGTTCACAGAACAAGGGGATACTGGTGGTTATAAGTCAGGAAAGGTGTGCGTCAGAGTTGTATCCTTTCACCATACTTATTCAATCCGTATGCTGAGCAAATAATCTAAGAAGCTGGACTGTATGAAGAACGGGGCATCAGGATTGCAGGAAGACTCATTAACAACCTGCGTTATGCCGATGACACAATCTTGCTTGCTGAAAGTGAAGAGGACTTGAAGCACTTACTGATGAAGATCAAAGACCACAGCCTTCAGTATGGACTGCACCTCAGCATAAAGAAAATAAAAATCCTCACAACTGGACCACTAAGCAACATCATGATAAATGGAGAAAAGATTGAAGTTGTCAAGGATTTCATTTTACTTGGATCCACAATCAACACCCATGGAAGCAGCAGTCAAGAAATCAAAAAGATTCATTGCATTGGGCAAATCTGCTGCAAAAGACCTCTTTAAAGTATTGAAAAGCAAAGATGTCACCTTGAAGCCGAAGGTTCACCTGACCCAAGCCATTGTGTTTTCAATAACCTCATATGCAGGCAAAAGCTGGACAATGAATAAGGAAGACTGAAGAAGAACTGATGCCTTTGAATTATAGTGTTTGTGAAGATTACTGAATATACTATGGACTGCCAAAAGAACAAACAAATCTGTCTTGGAAGAAGGACAACCAAAATGCTCCTCAGAAGCAAGGATGGCGAGACTTCCTCTCACATACTTTGGACATGTTATCAGGAGGGATCAGCCCCTGGAAAGGACATCATGCTTGGTAGAGGGTCAGTGAAAAAGAGGAAGACTTGCAAGGAGATGGACTGACACAGTGGCTGCAACAATGGGCTCAAGTATAATGATTGTGAAGACGGCAAAGGATGGGGCAGTGTTTCGTTCTGTTGTACACAGGGTCACTATGGGTCAGAATGGACTCGACAGAAGCTAACAACAACAATTCAAATTAATTATTACAATAATAATAAACCAAAAAAAAAACCCAAAGCTTAGAAAATGTGATTCATATAAACCCTGGTTGAGGAGTTGTAAAGGCATGCAAGAAGTGGCCAAATACCATGATGAAAATTAGTATATCGTAACAGTATGTTATGATAAAATCTTAGAAATTTGCAATTATATATTTTGACATGGATTGGATTAATGTATTTTTTACAGAAAACTATTATTTCAGATAGTACAAGTTAACAGTACAAATGTTTTGTCTGGGAATGTTTAAAATAAAAAATGGAGAATACAGTTTTAAAGCACCCATTTATATACAACTGTTTTACTAATTATATATCAGAATCAGCATTTAATTAAATATGGTGTAATGCTATCTACCGGGCAACAATTTGAGTATGTGACTTTAGTAGCCTAGTTTTAAATGATGTAAAGTATTTAATTTTTAACTTAATGTAAACATACCACTAATTCATACTGATCTTTTCCCCTCTGATTAAATTAATGATGTATTTCTGTATTGCTGTTGCATTACTGAGAAGTTTAAAGCCAAAATTTGAAATATAGGTTTCATTTCCAGCTTTGGTTTGAAAGATATTTTATCACAATCTTCTGCCTGTTCAATAATTTTAGAAAATGCAACACAACTGGTTTGTTAAATGTTTTTCTGAAAGAAAGAAATCTGTTCAAAGTTCAGTAAAAAAAAAAAGAAAGAAAATTAGTGTGGTTCATTTCCAACTTGATTCATACTTGGGTTCAAGTCGTCAGTGTAATAACATTATAAGCAAGTAGCCCAGAGTCCTATTAGGAATTCCACACTGTGCATTTCTAGTCTGTAAAAAGCATTTTCCACAAATCTTTACAGATAATTTTATGTAACTAAAAGATAAACAGTTAAACATTACTTATTTTGCACTTGTGGAGCCCTGGTGGTGCAGTGGTAAAGCGTTAGGCTGCTAACCAAAAGGTCAACAGTCTGAATCCACCAGGCACTCCTTGGAAACCCTATGGGGCAATACTACTCTGTCCAATAGGGTCGCTATGAGTTGGAATCGACTCGAAAGCAGTGGGTTTTGGGATTCTGCACTTGCAGCTTCCCAATAAGCTAACTCATTATTTTTCTCTGTCAAGTTTTTTGAATGTGTGGATGATACTTGCTGTCTCCATCTTATTATCCTTTCTTTACCTTGCCAAGCTTGAACAAACTGGCTTCTGTTCTCCTTGCTCTTACAAATACCTCATGACTTCAAAGAATCCCAGATTTGGAAGGACTCGTGAGATTCTAAGTGGTCAGTTAATTTCTTTTGAACAACAAGAAGATGACAACTCAGTTCCTTTAAGGGTCACCCATCCCATTTTTGAACATCTGTTAGAAAGTTCTTCTTTATCCTGATTCAAAATGAAATGTACAACCCCATAACATCCACCCACTAATTACTTCCAAATCCACCTTCTGAATTTCCATAGGAAAGTTTAATTCTTCGTGACAGCCCTTTAATTATTTTACAACATAATAAAATCAGAGAAAAGTGCTTCTAACAAGGTAATTTCCTGGTTTTCCAATCACCTCAGTTTCTTTTTCTACTCTTCTTCTTATACTTTATTTCCTAAATTAATTCATTCTTTGAAGCACAGTCCTTAATTCTGCTTGGTTCTCTACTTCCCCAGAGGGCAAATCCTCTCAATTTTGACACTTTTATTTGACTGACTCATTTGTAACACCTGTCTGAATCTCACATCCAAACTGCAATTTTGTACCTTAACTTCACTTCCTAGACTCTACGTTCTCAACTTCAAATGAAACACTATAAAAACAATCTGATAACTTGGGCCCAAATTTTGATTCTTTCTCCCATATGCCTCCAATTTCTGTAATGATACTTCCAATTTCCCAGTTGCCTAAATTGAAAACTTTAAGATCACCTATAGTTCTTCCTTGTTGTTTTCTTCCTATATTAAATTGGTTGAGTCCTTTTAATTCTTTCCTTGAAATGAGGTCTTCATTACCTTATGCCTACACTACTGTTACCATAGCTTCTCTAAACGCTCTTTGTGTTTCTAGGCTCTCCTTTTACAACTGCTCCTCTCCCCAGGGCCTACAGTATAAAATCCAAATTTCTCAATCTGATAATTTTAAGTCTTTCAGTTAGCTCCACTCCCAAGAATCTAACCTAATCTCTTTAAAACTTTTCTTTCATGCTCCCTGAAATGTGCAATGTTCACTATTGGATTCATAAAAATATCTTTTTTAACTTAAAAAAAAATGTTTGAAATACAATACAGAATACAGAAAGGCGCAAGAAACATAAATGTACAGCATAATCATAAACTGAACACCTGTGGATCAGTGCTTGCACCACAGGAGCCCTCCTCTCATGTGACCCTTCTTGATCATTCCCTTGATCATTACCTCCTTAGCAGTAAGCATAATTACTTTATAATCACTTGTTTTTCTTTATAGTTTTACCACCTAGTGTTCAGAAAACAAAGTTGCCATCAATTCTGACTCATGGTGACCCCATGTGTATACATTCTTAAATAACGTATTTTAGTTTTGCCTATTTTGAATTACACTTTATATATTCTTTCATCAACATTGTATTTGTATGGCTTATTCGGGTTGTTGTGTAACTTTTAGGTTGTTCATTTTCATTGTTCTAATTCCGGGTTTCTCAACTACTGACATTTTGGGTAGGATAATTCTTTGTTGTGGGGGGCTGTCCTGTACCTTGCAGGATCTTTAGCAGCATCCCTAACCTCTACTCACTAGATTCCAGAAATACCTCCCCGCCAAACCGTGATAACCAAACATATCTCCAGATGTTGCCAAATGTGCCCTGGAAGGCAAAATCACCCCTAGTTCAGAACCACGCTCCAATTCACTTTCATTGCTCATTCACAGTGTTCCATTCTATGAATATATCACTTATTTTTCCAATCTACTACTACTAATGCCTTTTGAACACTCTTACACAATGCCCATGCATTTCTCTAGAAGGGGAATAGCTGGGTCATTCAATATGTACATCTTTAACTTCATTTATAATGCTAAACCTTCTTCCAAAGTGGCTGGACTATGAGAGTTCATGTTGTTATATCCTTCCCAAAAGACTTTTAACATTACTCACAAAAATTTAAGATATCGAAGCAACTAGATATTTTCTACCTCCCAAACAATGCGAGAATCCTTGTTATTATTTTTCACAGCCTTGGCACATCTTTTACTTCTCTTCTATCCAAATCACAACTATTCTTCAAGTCCCAATCGAAGTCCACCTTCGATTAAGTGTATAATAGCGCTGCCTCCTACTGCTTTCCCCCTTCTCTAAACTTGAAGAGCATTTATGTGCCATTCATTTTTTGGTTAATCACATACTTTCCCCAAACTATAAGCTCTCACGCAGGGTAGATACTGCTTTTCTTCTTCTTTTATCTCCTTTGGTGTCCCCTTCTGGCCTAGCAAAGAAATCTAGCTACACACATATAAATGCTCAATAAGTATACACAGAATGAATGAGGAAGACAAATTCTGCAACTTCCTGAGTCTAAAAGGAATAGAAAAAGTTAAAAGGTGGACTGCTGGGTGTATTAACAGCTGGAAACCTGAATTCTCATCCTGCTTTCATACTAACTAGAATGTGAAATTAAGCAAGTAATTTCTCTTCCTCTGAGCCTCCGTTTCTTTACCCGCAAAATTAAGTTAGATGAGATTATCTCAGAGGTCCCTTCCAGCGCTAGAATTCGGTAAGAAAACTGAACTTCATCAAACCGAGCTAAAGAATAAGCCCAGGATGGGTGAGCGTCCCTCTGTTGTCCCCTAGAGCTCAAAAGACGGGGGTGCGAGCTGAAATCAATCACCAAGGCGGAGACCAGCGGAAAAGACGCGCACAGGCCGTCCCATGTCAAGAAAGCTACCGGGTCACTGGCCTGGCAGTGCGGCCCGGCTTTCAGGGAAGGTCGGCAGGAGTATGAGAAGCCTCAGAGGCCAGCCATGGGCCGAGGCAGCAGGAAGTTCTCGACGTCCACTCGCTCACCCGGTTGGGATATTCCTTCTCCACACAGTCCCCACACATCCCGATGCCGTTAACAGCGAACGTCCTTCACCGTTTCCGCGAAGACGAAACCTCGCGAGAGCTAAGAGAAGCTTGCCGCATGCGCTCCAAGCACTCGACCTTGGGAGGTGGGGGATTGGTACCGGGAACTGATTCGAAGTCTCCGCCCTTAGCAACTGTTGTTAGGGCAGGGCCTGGTCTCCCGGGCAACAACGGTGGGCTAGGGGTAGTATGTCGGAAACCTTGGGAGAGTGGACTGGCTGATGGGGCAAGAAGGAGAAGTGATCTTGGACTGAACAAAGTTCTGATAGGCGCCTTTCTGAGGCTGACAGACAAATCACAATACACAAGAAAGAGATTTGTCTTTTTATGCCTCGGCTTACTCCGTATATAAAACTGAACTAATAATTTAAATGCTTTTCTGTACCATTTCTTAGGGGAGTGAGAGTGATAAGAGATCAATAAGCAACAACTGAAGAGTTTGGGGAAGAGGCATTTATAGATCTGCAGAAAATCTCCTCAAAAGACCACTTAAAATGTTAGTAATAAATGACCTTCCCAGAGTCATCTGGAGAAAGAACGTAGCTTTGGAAAACGTGTTTATATCTCTCTTTGTGACACAGAAACACCTCAGTAGTAGGCAGGCACCATAAACAGAACAAAAACAAAAAAATTCTGCCATTGAATTGATTCTGACTCATAGAGACCCCATAGGGTTTCCAAGGCTGTAAATCTGTAGGAAGCCGACTGCTACATCTTTCTCCAGCAAGCCTCTGTGGTTTCGAACAGCCAACCCTTCAGTTAGTAGTCCATAGCTTTAACCAATGTGCCACCATGTAAATAGTCAATTATCCGTGCATCATTTCTCAATGATTGATTTCAAAGAGAGCAGCAGTGGTTCAAAGGTAGAACTCTTGCCTTCCATGCTGGGAGACTTGGTTTGACTCCCTGCCAATGCACCTCAAAAGCAGCCACCACTATTTGTCAGTGGAGGCTTGCGTGTTGCTATGATGCTGAACAAGATTTCAGCAGAGCTTCCAGACTAAGATAGACTAGGAAGAAAGGCCTGGCAATCTACTTCTGAAGATTAGCCAGTGAAAGCCCTATGATTCACAACCATCATGGGGATAGCGAAGAACTGGGCAGCATTTTGTTCCATTGGGCATGGGGTCCCCATGAGTTGGGGCCTATTCCATGGCAGCTAACAACAACAATATGAATTTTGAGATTTTAAAATACTCGTGATTTGGTGCCTTGCCTCTTCCTTTCCCTCTTTATTATTCACGATGATATAAGTAACCTGAATACTAATCTCCAAAATCTGCTCTGGGCTTCTGAACAACCTGTCTTTATTATACCCTGCTACTCCAACAGAGATATTTAATGAGAATACCAGCATCCTCCCTTAACCCTGCTTTATTGCAGTCAGATCAGTGAAGATATGTGGGAGCATATGAAAGTCTGGCATGCAGATTCTTTAAAGAAGAGATTAATAACCATTTCAAAGCAAGCTAGTTTATTTGGGTTTGCTAATATGGTAATTATATCTCCACTGGAACACTGGAATTGTAACATTTAGTATTTTGGTCTCTGGGGAGGATCTGCATCTGTTACAAAAAATCATAGGTGTGCTAAGAACAAGAGCTAGTGCCATTAGAGTTCATTTTACTTGAAATAATTATAATGCTTCTCATACATATGACATTTTCAACCTTTCAAAGTGTCCTCATTTCAGTTTCTAATTTTATCCTTATTATAACACTATATGATGAGAAAGAAAAGTATGTCTTCTCTGTTCAGATGAGGAAATCAAGGAAATAAGGTTAGCAGCCAGCACGTTAGCCGTTTGCGCCATCCAGGAACACCAGTGTGGCTACCAGAAAATTTAAGAGTACATATGTGGCTCGGATTATATTTCTATTGGACAGTGCGGGTCTATATGATTCTCCTTTGTGATCCATTTTTAAATACTTCCTCTGTTTTTAAAGCCTAACGGTAACTTTTATTTTTCTTAAGCATTGTATCTATTTTCTCAATTCTATAGACATTTGTTGAATACCTTCAATGTGCAAGGAACTGTGGGTAACAGGAAGATGAAAAAGACTGTCCTTCCTTTCCTACCCTACATTAGCTTACAGTAAAGCCCAAGAGATAAAATGAGCACAAATACCTAAAATTACTGACAATTTGTGATATTTGAGCAC